GTGTCGGAAGCAGTAGGATTTCGCTGAGATTTTGGCCGGGGAAGTGATGATGATGAAGAGGGAGGGAAATCTTCAAGGTCAAGGGAAGAGAAATCTAGCCGCTTCGGAGTCGCCATGGTAAACATGCATGCAGAAAGAACCCTAACCAGGAAAACCAAATCGACTGAATTTTCACGAAGCTCAAAGCTTTAAGCCGCCGGTAAGAAATGAGAAGAGAAGAAGATGGGTCCGAGCTGAGCTTTTTATCGCAGCACTTAGATCATTAAAACGACGTCGTTTAAGTCAAAAGGCTCTTCATTGGGGAACAAACAACAATTCTTTATTGTTTACACTATGCACATGACACGAAGCCAACCACACAACACTAATACAAAGACTTTTTGTTACCATTCATTACTACCATTCCAATATCCAAGCATAACTCAGCTCATCCCAATCCAATCCTCATTCAGGCATATTTCCTTAGCGCTTCTGTGTCATTTTGATTTCACTTCAACTTTTTTTGCTTGAGGATTCTTGATTCCTGAATATTTGCAAGAATTGTTTTCTTTTTACTTTGTGGATCATCTGCACACCAAGCTCAATCAATCTCTCCCTCTTCTATATCAATTCCAGGAGCTGGCGAAGTGAGCCGGTCAGCTTCTTCCTCATCATCATCCTGTTTCATAAACAGCCCGAGCTGTTCCAATGGATTGCTACATCCAAAACTGAAACTACGCAACCCATCATAAGATACATCAGGCCCATCCTCCTCTATCGCATTTGTCAAATGGTCCGTTTTGAGAAGCTCTAGATCCTTGAGAAACTTTGCGTTCTCGTTGAGTTCTACCGACTGCTCCATCTGCACCATTTACCATTAAAAAACAGATGTTTCAGTGAAACGCTAGAACTAGATATTCCATTTCTCTAAAGCAACTATTATAATTCTTAATTTGTTTAACTATTAAAAAGACTATTTCATTCAGCTGCTATGAGATCAAATGAATCAGGAAATGTTTTGTGCATGCAAAGCTGCAATGAACATGTTTACCTCCACTAATGCCTGGCGTGCTGCTTCTCTTTCGAGCTCGAGCTTTCTCTTAGCCTCAACCGCAGCTTCAGCTGCAGCTTGTGCCTCAGCTTTTCTACGAGCTCCTTCAGCTGCCTCAGCTTCTGCTTGTAATCGTGATTTCTCTGATAAGAAAGGGCACATATTATTGCTTCAGGTTCCACTATCCTTTTATCACTTATAAGTAGTAGACTTGAACTAGCAAATCAAGGAAGCAAACCTTTCTTCTTTTGAAGCTCGAGTTCTTCTCTCTCACGCTGCAGCTTCTCTGGGTCTCGCGCGTCATTCTGATCTCAGGAGCACATAATTTTCTTAAAAAATCATTTGAAAAGTAAAAAAAAAAAAGACTTAGGATAGTGAGTCAGAATCCCCAACAAACCTGGTTAAGAGTTTTCTCTCGGGCTTTTAAGATTAAGTCCGCAAATCGATTCTTCAACAAAGCAGCTCTGTAGACCTTTTCCGGAGGTAGTTGCTTCTCACTCTGAGTACTATTTCCTAGGGTATTAAAGGGTCAAGAGTGAGATGCCACCTCTGACAGAAGAGTGGAAACATTTTTCTGCCACACTCCTTTTCTTACCATCTTGCTGACAATCTGCCTCCTCGACACAACTGATTTTCTCCTGAGACACACTTTCGAGCTGATCCAACCCACCAACAGGTGCTGCTTGTGGAAAGGGAATAATGAAACATAAGTTCCGCACC